ATATGGTAATAGTAATCATCAGGCTTTGAAAAAACACTATATATTTATAAATTTCCACTCCTCATACCTCAAATTCCTTATTGCCACTTTCAAAACGACTGTAAATACAAAATTTATTTATTGTGAAAAATAATGAAAACCAAAGAACATTAGAACATTAAAAAATTCACATTAGAAAAAAAATGTTAGATGAAAAATTCATCGTACTTAGATGTTGAACTTACTACTATATCGATACAGCTATTCTGTATTTGGGGGGAGGGGACTTTCGTTAACATGGAATACATTAAATATATAAACAATCAATGAAATTGCAATTTTCCTCAATCCGTGTTGACCTTTTGTTGTGGGTTTAAATAAATCTATCTTCAAAACCCATTTCAAAAAAAGAAATGCCGAGGTATTGGGCACCAGAAAGTACATTTATTCCAAGAAAATATCTTATTGTTTAAAAAAGCATGTTACATAATAGAACAATGTACGAGAACAGAATACATATTAATATAATCTGTATTGCCAAATACTCAAGATTCTCTCCCTGTCTTTATCAGTCTATCAATAGATATTACTTTAAGATAGTCAAGTGCAGACAGGTTGATTCTGCAATTCTAAATATTGAAATTTTATCAAATTACTTCCAAGAGCCATTTACAGTAATTTCTCTAAATTCAAAATTATTTCATATAAATGCAAAATGGCATCCCTGATGAGTAGCTCTATCTAAACCTTCTTAATCTTTGAGGTTTACTGGAATGGTTGAGGAATGTATACAGTACTGGGATTAAAAGAAAAAATTGAAACTAGATTTTCTGCATAAGAAAAGTGTCTACAGTTTTATTTGCAAGATAAAGGAATTTACAATACAAAGATTTTTAATGCACAAGTTCTCAAAAACTGAATCTGAAAATAAATAATCATAAAAATCTGAAAGCATATACACGATGGTCAGATAACCTTTCACATGATGCTTACAACTAAAATAGTCAATTATTTTAGTAAGTGTTTCCAGTATTATTAATCAGCTCAGATCCACATCTGAAATGTATTACTGCTTCAGTATTTTTTTAAATCACACTTAAAATTTTCTATAAATAAAATACCTTTTTTATGATAATTCCTTAATCAGGGTTCCTACACATTTCTGTATAAGTACTTTTGAAGACTTTTAATTACATAAATTAAAGCATTTATTTATGCAATTAACTTCAATCTCATAGTAGCATTTTAAGAAATCACAGATAGAACAAGGAATAATGGAAGACAGATGTCAGATTCAGTTTCAAATGTGATCTGAATAGCTAAACTTTTTGTTCCTGAAAACAAAATCAACAGTTTTATCCTAAATCTTCCAAACTAACGTTCTGTTTTTTCCTAATTTTTTTCAATTCCCACTCTCAAATTATAGTTGTTTTTGATAAAATAAAGAGGCAAAAATTTAAACAATCTGAGTATCTGTCAAGAATATGTGAATTAAATATATATTTGTCATTAATTTACAGAAATGGCAATTTTTAACAACTTTACAAAAATTAAAAGTTCATAAAACTAGAACAGTTCTAACAAATATAACTGATAAGAGTTGCCATATTTGCTCTGTTCTTTGTCACCTTAAAGCAGCAGCAGCTAAAATTCTCCCTAAATATGCACGCTTTCCAAATTCAGATTGTTCTAATGTTGGCACTATTCACGTCTTGGCCATACCATTGAAAATCTTTTGAATTCACCAATTTAAAAAAAAAAAAAAAAAAAAAAAAAGTCAAATTTTCATTAAAGTCATACTCAGACCTTCAAAGAAGGTCAAAGGTTTCATCATAGATCACACTTAAAAGCATGGCTATAAGATCAAGGCTGAAATCCAAGAAACTATTTCAAAGACATAATTCTTAGTGATAATGCCGGGCAAAAAGCTGAATGCCAACCAAATCAAAACATTTCAAAACTTTCATGCCAGGTAGCTGATTTTTCCTTGTTTACAACACTATTCACAATGGCTCGTTACGAGATGTAGGATATTTAAATTTCATATTCATACTCAGAATGGTAGTTACGCTACTAAGAATAACTATACTAATGAATCTCCTGTAAAAATCTACCATTGCTAAAGCTAAATATAAAAAACTTATAGATAACATATCAATACCTAATTTATAGGTACGACACAGAATGTCTGAGAACTATGGAACATGCAGATTATAGAAACCTGATGAACGAGGAACTCGAAATTTTTATACTTGCTGAATATCCCATTTTAAATACTTATTTAAAATGATAAAGAGTTAGCAAGAAGTCTTCCTAGACGAATATGCTTTTTAAAAAGAATACTGCAAAATTTGGAGGAGGGGCAAAAAAGAAAAAGCAAGACTTCAAATAATTCTGTTGGTGTCGATGTTTTCAGAGAATAAACATTTTATTTAACAATTCTGTCATGAGTTATCCAAGAATTTAACAAAAATGAAGCTTCATGTAATGCAATTTAAAAATGAATACATGTGCAAGCATCTTATGGCACAAAATCAGATGATTTTTGAATACTTTTTTTTGGGGCATACAATACTGAACTTGGTTAGTAAAAATTTTTCTATTCTTGAGAAAACACTTTTGTAGATAAAACAGATATAGGATGTTGAAGAGACTAAGGCATTTGATAAAAAAAATGGCAATGAAGGGAATAAAGAACTACTTTGATTGGAGAAAAATATCAGTAAACTGAGAAACATGTAAATAAATGAAATTCTGACACTTAATTGCTTAAAAGTATTCAACTGATCAAAAATTACACCATAAATTCATGCTACATGCAATCCTTCGTTACATTTGTCTTGCCTGAGTTTTTTACAACAATCTAATCAAGTGCATGTAATTTAAATAATACATGTTCAATCAACTGCAAGTAATTTAAAATACTATCTTCAAGCATCCACATACTTTTAAAAAAATCAACAAATTTATAAGAGTTCAGAAAAATGCCTGAATTTAGCAAAATTCAAACTCAGTTATTAATCAATTATGACAATAAAAATGACTCAAATACCATAAGAGCATTTTTAGAACCTTGCAATTATTATAACTTTCAGTGGTAATCAAAAGTATAACTTGCATCCAAACCATACTTATAAATTGATTTAAATAAAAACTGATGGCATTATAGATATCACTTTTCCCTTCACCATATCTTTTTATTTCCATATTTCAATGTTTAATATTATTGAAAAATCAGCATAAAAAAATCTAAAACTTTACAACAAAACTGAATAAAAGAACAAAATCAGCTGATAAAAAATGTCAGAGAACAACGGAACATGCAGATTATAAAAATCTCATGTACGAGGAACTCTGCATTTTTATTACCTGCTGAAATCTCATTCTGAATATAATTATTCAAATGATCAAGTGTACAGGTATCACTTTTCCCATCACAATATTCTTTTATTTGGGTATTTCCATATTTCAGTGTTTAATATTATTGAAATATCAGTGCAAAAAAATCTAAAGTTTTACAACAAAACTGAATAAAAGAAGAAATTCTGCCGATAAAAAAATGTTAGAGAACAACGGAACATGCAGATTATAAAAATCTCATGTACGAGCAACTCTGCATTTTTATTACCTGCTGAAATCTCATTCTGAATATAATTATTCAAATGATCAAGTATAGAGGTATCACTTTTCCCATCACAATATTCTTTTATTTGGGTATTTCATATTTCAGTGTTTAATATTATTGAAAAATCAGTGCAAAAAAAATCTAAAGTTTTACAACAAAACTGAATAAAAGAAGAAATTCTGCCGATAAAAAAATGTTAGAGAACAACGGAACATGCAGATTATAAAAATCTCATGTACGAGGAACTCTGGATTTTTATACCTGCTGAAATCTCGTTCTGAATATAATTATTCAGATGATCAAGTGATAGCAGGAATTTGTTCCACAATGATTTTTAACTTAAAATTCTTACGAAGCTCATTATAACTTCATGTCAAACAAAGAAAAGCTAAAAATATGTTTCATCTAATCTTGGCAAAACACTAATATTACTGAAGCAAACAAGTGTACATAATGGGGTTGCAAAATAATAGTCAATTTTACATAAGGAATTTAATAATTCTAAATTACTGAATTCATAATAGGATTGAAATATATTCACCATTTTCAATGAAAAGTGGTGAAAAATTCTTTTCTCAACTATAATTTGTTCAATTTGCATTACGCTTCTCATCCAGTGACCAGCTGGATGTTTGTAATTTTTATATCTTAAAGGCCTATTTCCAAGTGCAGATTTATTTTAATTTATGATGCAGTGAAGATGGGTTCTATGAAGTCAAACCACATTCAGCTTTTACCCATTCATCTGGGATAGCTCTTAAGTCGCATGGTGTAAGAGGAGTAATCAGATGATGTCTATAAAAGTATATTGGCATCTGTTGCAGTAATTGGCTTCCAGGAATGAAAATTTACAAAGAAATATATCCAATTTCTGCCTTTGACTTTTTTGTGAGTCTTTTAACGGAAAAATTATGTACACCAAATAATCACGTCACATAATTACACTTGATAAAATCAAAATGGATATTTTCATTGAAATATGGTACCCGAAATTTTTTGAGACTACAATACTTCCTTTTTACTTTGCACAAGGAAGTAATAAAAGAAATCAAATGCATAAAAGACAAGCAAACTTGTAAAGTATAAATTTAGATTTTTAAACTGCCTCAAAAATCAATGCAAACAAGAGGTATGGGTATTTTCATATATTTTGGCAAATTTTCATAGGAACAATTAATTTTTTTAAAATTTTAATTATTCCATTGTATTTTAAATTTTTAAAAAAATTACAAGATAAAGTTTTTTTTCAGTATTTTTACTTTTATCTGTAAATATCTGAAACAGATAAAAGATTTTGTGAATGTTTATATTCCAAAATTAAACCCTCTTGTAATTATTATACTAAATAGAAACACATAATTAAAAACCCATACAGATACAGTACCAAGTAAGAAAATGCCTCAGAAATGCAATTATTTTCAACAATAAAATTCAGACAAGAGGTGTCTAGTCACATCATTGGCAATTTGTCACTGTTATAAAAAAAAAAGTATACTCAATAAATTGACGTTTTTATTTTTAAACTAAAAAAATAACAAATTTTAACCCAACATTAGTTTTAATCCTCATACATTAACTTGGATATTATAATTTTCAAAAGCTAATACATTTTAAATAATTATGGGAGCATGTGGATCTGATAAAAGCATCACATTTTTATAGTACAGTCAAAAGTCGTTAATTCGGACACCCATAATCTGGAATGATCTATAATCCGGACCTCAAAGCTTATAACTTTCGGCACATGCGCACACGCGTTTTACGCGTGCGCGTAAGACCATGACTACTGCACATATGCGTGTGCACCAAGTGCAGAATACGTTTTCGCCTGCGCGTTTAATGTATAACGGACGGTGTAAGCTAAAATTATCTAATTATCTATTTCAGTTAATGTTAATGATTGCGTTGTTCCTTAATCTTCGAATTGGATCCCGCTTATTATTTTTTGCAGACTGTAAGAGCAATTTTATAAAAGTAAACTTGAAATTTCGATTATGTCAAATAGAATTTCCGATGCTGGAACTTCCAAAGTATCTACAAAACAAAAGTATGTTTCGATGTCCAACAAATAAAAAGTGGAATTGCTCCAAAAAATGGATAAAGACATGAAGAATGTGACAGAGAGGTTAAATTTTGATACCCTTTAGATCATAATTGTTCTTTATTTCATAAATTACGGTTTCATATTTTTAATTTTAGAATTTCTGCATGCCATCTTACGAGATTTAAACTGATGATCTATAATCCGGAATCGCCGAAGTCCCGACGAGTCCGGATTAACGACTTTTGACTGTATATATCTCTGAGTGAAAAATGAATATTAAATAAAACTGACTGTTGGCCATGCTGGCTCCACAGGATTTGTTCCAGATGCTCAAATGTATACAAAACATAAGCTCTAAGCAAGGATTACCATAGGTCAGAAAACTATGAAAAAATGAGTATTTTAAAGGCTTCTTCCAAATGGACGACTCCAAAATATGATACGCATGGACAATGCTCAGTATTACACGAAAATTGAAGATCCGACTCCTCTAAAATATATGCTACAAAGCACACAGTGGTAAACTGACTGATGAGGAAGGTACTGTGATCCCAAATTTCAAAAGGGGAACTTTTAAAATTGATAGAATGCAACCATCCTAAAAAACTGACAACATTATAAAAGAAAATTAGCATCATGCTGTGTAGCTCCCTCCTAACCTCTATGACCAATAGAGAAAATGTTATTACAAGTATGTTTCCTTAGAAAGTCAAATGTCCTCTTCTTTAGCGAATAGCTCTTGTATGTTTTCCCATCATCAGATAAACCAAACCTTTCAATGAAGACTATAGAAATGAAATATTCAAATTGTGGCTACTGAGAACTTTATGGACATTCCTATATTCAATATTTTATTTACCACAGTATAAATGAAAGACTACAAAAAAAGGGGGGAATGAGCCTTTGACAGAGGTGAATTCCCTTTATGAATAAAGTATGTATGACTGTTTTATCTCTCATTATTGTGTTTTGGGAGACTCACAAGCCATGGTATGCTTTGCATAAAAGTGAATTTTTAATAAAAATTAAAAAGTTCCATAAATATTAATACAAAATTGTTAATGCAAAAAAGCTAATTAGTTATAAAATTCAAATTTTGTAGAAATATTTCTCTTAATGCATGTTTTAAATATACTATAATAGGTAACTGAATAATTTAAAAACCTTAACTTTGTTCCGATTTCAATATTTTATATTACTTGCTATTGCAATGTCTTTAAAAATCTGTAAATGGGAATCAAGCTTAGTAATGGGTTTGATAAGAGTAGATGTGATTAACTGAACTTCCCTGCTCCCTTTCCCCATTAAAATGACCAGCTTTTGATTTAGTCAAAAGGTATGGGAAAAGTAATGTTTGCAAAAAGTTATTTATTGAGAATATCGTATGTAAATACTTTTATTTACAAATGATTGAATATAAATTTAATGATGAAAGTTTTAGTCATAATTAAAAAAAATTAACATAAAATTCTGAAAGAAAAATTTTTCACTTGAGAAATGTGTCAATACTATCTTAATTAATAACAACTGGGATAATCAAGTAGACTCTAAGATTTCATTGATGGTTTAGCAAACAAAAATTAAGCAACATAATAACTATATTAAAATGTTGGATATAAAACTTTTCTTCAAAAATAAACTTTAAATTTATTTCCCTAATAGTTATTCTGACACAATTTTAGTTATCTGTATATCAAGAGGGGTGGAAAATTCAGTCACTGCCCCAGGTGGCAAAAGCTTTAACTACAGTACTGAACATTCAGTTTCGGAGATTTGATGTTATAACAAAAGATTAACAAGCATTTTACTTGAAATTAAAATAAAAAATAAATACTGCAAATCCTTCATTAAATGTGACAAGATGGCAAACTGAAAAGTAATTCACGACACCTATAGGAATTGAGTTAAGGCTTGTTTCTATGGCAACAGAAAGCTACAGATTTGTTGGCGATAGCTTTTCTTCTGATACGCAGACTGCACGCATGTTCTTACAAATGCTCATTTCAATATATTATATGCTCTCAGCATATTCTATCAAAGATGTGATTTTGAGAAATGTGTTTATAGGCAAATTTAACTGCTTTAATTTTCTTATGTTATGTGCAGAATATTGGGGAAAAAAAAAAAAAAAAATTCTGAGTAGTTCTAAAAGGTATTTTAAAACAGCATTCAAGTTTATGATTAAGAGAATAACATAAAACCGTTCTACATTAAACAATTTATTTATTTAGAAGAACAGAACTTTTTAAACTGAGTGATATGAAACTTTAAAATCACTTATCTTCCTTCTAATCTGTTTAACACATGGAGTAAAATGCGCTTTTAATTTACAATCAATGTCAAGGTTAAATTTCTGCTAATCATTAATGTCCAAAAACACACACACCATATATATGTTACACCTGATATATACAAAGAACAGAACAATAAAGAAATTCTTAATTATTCTCAACATGCAATCTTATGTAAATCAGTTTATAAACTGTAAAGATTCCACCAATAAATAGTTTGAAATTGCGGAATTACGAGCCAGACTCATTTAATGCAAATGGGATAATTTTTTCACTACAGCATCTATAAATCTGTATTCCAGATGGAAGACAAATCACTAGTATTCTGTTCATAAAACACTTTTAAATTAAAACTTATTTCATAGGTATGACACTAAAGTGTAAACAGGAATGAAAGGAGCAAGTAAAATAAAAGGAATGCAATTTACTTTTCTAAGAAAATGTCTGAGAACTACGGAACATACAGATTATAAAAATCTGCTGTACGAGGTTCTATACCTGCCGTATATCTCATTCTAAATAGTTATTTAGATGATCAAGTGTTAGCAGGATAAAATTCAAAAAACTTACTAAGACTAAAAACCTAGAAATTAATGCTAGAAGATGAGGTACTATTCGGTTTCGAGGGCCGTAAAAAATCGCCAAACTATTGTTGATGCCAGTGCTGCCAAAAGTAATTGCGGCAACCCTAACGCAAGAAAGGAAGTATAATAGTAAATATCTATCTAAATATTGATGTTTTAATTTAGATGAAAAGTTAATTTCATATAATATTTCGCTACCGAGTTATCGCTAAAGCATAATGTCATCTCGTTGGTTGTTCAAACATAATTTTCCATGATGAATGACGCCTTTTCTTTGAAAACACTTTCGGTAAAGTGCAGAATCGCCTGCTTATTTCTTTGCCGCTTTTTACAAGGGTAAAAACAATTGGAATTTTGTCAATTTTCTTTTACTTTTTAAGTGACAATAGGTCGATGTGTACATAGATAAAGTCAAAGGTGTGCACGGTGCCATTTTTGTGCAATTCTGGGATTTTTTTTTTAAGTGAAAATAAGTCGATGTGTACATGGATACCGAGTATGTGCAATTCTTAAAAACGCGTCAAGCAGTGGGTGATTCTGCACTTTACCCAAAATTCTATCGCAGACTTTTCATCATAGGCAATTCCTAAATTGTTAGATCCATAGGATATCAAAAAAGGAATTAAAAATTAAACTAGTATTTCAATGGCGTCTTAAGAAATACAGAACTATATAAACTTACGCAATCTGAAATCAGCTCGTACGCGAGATTTGGCACGCTGGTAAATAAATGGGCGTGTTTGCTAGATTTGGCGCTTTCGCGCATACATTTTCGCTGCAATTTTTTTACGGCCCTCGAAACCGAATAGTACCGAAGATGAAATGCAGTAGCCTTTTATAAATGAGTAAAAACATTTGGCTGTGTGAATGAAAAAATCCAATTCACCTTCTTAAAGGGAAAAAAAATTTTTTTTTAATAAACTGCATTTCTTCTTGGAAACCAAGAGGAAATGGAACAATAAAATAAATATAACATTTCTATGAAAAGTATTAAAACTGTTCTTAGATGACTAAAAATAATGCCTCGGATGACAAATATATGTGTTACAAACATGTATGTCGACAAAGTCAACAACATACGATTTTCAAAGTTCTTTTGAAATAGCCCGTGCCATGTGATTGCAGAATATTTTAATATTTTCCATTGCTTAAATCTCATTAACAATTCCTGGCAGCAGGTGATTTACAGCAGTGCCCTCAAACTGCATGTTCTGAAAACAGCAGACAGATTTTCCTTTTAAGCAAAATGAATATCTTTTATTAACAAAATAGAAAAATATTTTGGCTAAATTTTATGTTTCTCTTACTAAATATGAATCCAAATAAACATAAGCAATAATAATGCAAAAAATTCAAACTTGTTTTCTATATGAAATATAAAGTTTTGGTAAACAAAATAATTTTGTTGGTTTCACTTGATAATCCAAACATTTCGGCAGCTAAATAATATCTTAGACCGACATTTATTCGAAATAATTTAAATATTTTTAATTAATCATCAAATAACTAATTTAAATCAAAAATAAACAAATTTATGAAAACTAA